CCAGTCTTCCCCACCTCCAGGGGGTTGGTGAAGACACAGGCCAGGCAACAGGCCGAGGCACCCAGCACCAGGTCCACAGCCGGGGCCACCGCTCCCGTGTCCTCTGTGCCAGCAGCCGGCTGTGCCCGGGTCAGGGGCATGGCACAGACCCTGGGGTGGTGGCGCTCAGGTTGCCTGTACCCCTGGAGGGTCACAGGGCTAGGGGTCGAGGGGCCCGGGGGCCATGTCTGGAGGGCAGGGTCCGGTGGGACAGGCCTGCAGCTGCCAGGCCGTTGCTGATCTATCCCGGTGTCCACCTGCCCCGCGCGCGCACGCCTGGGCTGTGGGTGCCTGGGACACACCCCTGCTGGGTGCTGACCAATCCCAGCTGCCTTTGTTCTCCACACCTCCTGGCTGGGCGGCCCTAGACACTGGGATCTGGGGCAAAGGTCACCTGGACCAGCAAGAGATTGGGGGCGGGGAGAAGGTGCCAATCAGCCGCGCCTCCTTCTCCTGCCCCTTGTCCTCCAGCCCTCCCTGTGGTCCTGGGGCAAAGGGCTGGTGCTTCTGCCCCACCTTAGGCTTAGCCAGTCCTGCTGCAGCTCAGAGCCCTGGGCATGGGGAACTGGCACGGGGGCTCCTGGCCACAGTCTGCCGGGCAACTCAGCCACAGCCCCACTCCTACCCCTGCCGCATGTGAGGGTCCCTCCCCGGCCTCGGCCTTGCTGTCTGGCTCCCAGTCTGCGGTCCCACCGTCAGGGAGGGCAGAGGGCCTGACCTGGACTCCCACTGTGCTAGAATGGCCACTTCCCCTAGCTTCAGCTCTCCGTTTGTAAAGGGGGCGTCCACACCCACGGCAGAGCTTCTCTGGACAGTCAGCGATGTGTGAAAAGCACCCAATAAAAGGTGGTCCACATCCCCCCTGCCGGGGTCCCTGGGCGGGTAGGAGACCTCCAGGAGTGACCAGTGGCTTCAGCCACTTACCTGGTAGGGACTTGTCCCTCAGCCCTACCCTCCTCCCAGTGGGAGCCCCTCCTGGGTCGTGGCTTCTAGAGCCCCTTGGGAAATGGCCCTTTGTGCCTGGTGAG